AGAGATGCAAATGTCAATTCAAATCCCATAGTGGTAGAGATCGTAGAAGTATTAGCAGTAATGGAGAAGATTAGTGAGCGAAGATATGATTCAAGAAGTATAATTCAGTGAGATGACTGTAGAAAGAGAAAGATAGAGATGATGAGGAATTCAGAAGCTTAGAATTTGAGAGAACACAAAGAGTAGATGCACCTGCGCCATTGCAAACGATTCTGAGCCATGTGAATTTCGTCTCGCGGACCCCAACCAGCTAGCCTACATCTACCAACATGACTCAGTCCACTTGTCAGTGACTTCATGGGCTTATGTCATGTTTTGTTCTGGCCGCCCCTAGCTTTCTTCCAACCTACGCCTATACCAGAAAACATAGATCTTCGAGGCCGTCGGTGGTTGGGCGTGCTTAACACACGTCCTAACCACATCAACTGATGAAGTCTTAATACTTCATCCACTGATCTGCCATCCCTACCTGGTACTCTGTTCCTGACTATAGAATTGCTTACTCGATTGTACCAAGACACACCAGCGATGCTTCTAAGACATCTATGATCGAATACTAGTAACCTACGAATATCTTATACTCTTATTGGCAGTGTTTCGGATCCATATAGGAGAATGGAGCGAACTGATGCGCAGTACACTCGTCCTTTGTTCAGCAAACAGATATCTCGCCTACGCCATAAGTGACGCAGGTTGACAAAAGCCAATGGATACTTCTGTATCCGCACCAGATCATCAGAAGTGATGAGACTCCCAAGATCATTGAAGCGGTCTACACGCTCAACTACTTCACTTTCTATCACTAGTTCAGGTCCAGATGCAACCCAATCTAGAAGCAACATTTTTGCATTTCGAGGGTGAGAACCACCTCCCGATCATGCTTGCATTTCAACCAGTTTCTGGAACAAAAAAAAACGATAAATCGTGTTTACAAAATTATTTAAATTATTTGGAAAACTACTTACAGTATAAGGGTGTGTTATCCAACTCACTGAGCTTGCAAACATATAATTTTATAAAATTCAAATAAATTACTTATTGTATGTTGTTACATTTCATTTAACTTTTAAGTACACTTAAAATGATAATTATTATCAATAAAAAAAATTAGGTGTAGATTTTTCGTAATATCCCAAAAATGAATTATTACTTCTATTATTAATTTTATACTGATTAACTAAATTGATTGTATGTCTATTTTTTTTTTAAAATTAATATAAATGTCTGCACTACACTATTACTCCTACTTTTGTAATGACTGTGAAAAATGAATTTGAATTAGGGTGTGTAATAGACTGTTTTGAAGTTGATGCCCTAAACTTTGTCTAATACTTGGCCATGAAAGCTTTTATTGGATAACACAGCCAATTACTTACTTACTTGCTTACTTACGCCTGTTACCCCCAATGGAGCATAGGCCGCACACCGGTTTTCTCCAACCAACTCTATCCTGGGCTTCCTTCTCCAGTTCTGTCCTATTGCAGTTCATTCTTCTCATGTCTGTCTCCATTTCTCGGCGTAATGTGTTCCTTGGCCTTCCACTTTTCCTTTTGCCTTGAGGGTTCCATGTGAGGGCTTGTCTCGTGACACAGTTAGGTGCTTTCTGCAATGTGTGTCCTATCCACTTCCACCGCTGCTTACTGATTTCATCCTTCACTCGAATCTGGTTTGTTTTCTCCCACAGTACGTTGTTGTTGATGGTGTCTGACCAACGAATCCGAAGTACTCTGCGTAGACAACTGCTCATAAACACTTGTATCTTCTGGATGATGGCTTTGGTAGTTCTCCATGTTTCCGCTCCATACAGTAGAACTGTCTTGACATTTGTATTGAAAATCCTGATTTTGGTTTTGGTTGAATGTTGTTTGGAGTTCCAGATATTTTTCAACTGTAGAAATGCAACCCTTGCTTTGCCAATCCGTGCCCTCACATCTGCATCGGATCCACCTTTCTCGTCGATGATGCTGTGCAGATATGTAAAGGTGTTAATGTCCTCCAAGACATCTCCATCAAGAGTGATTTGGTTGTTGCATGTTGTGTTGCATTGGAGAGTTTTGCTTTTTCCTTTATGTATGTTGAGACCTACTGCTGCAGAGGCTGCTGCTAAACACAGCCAATGGACAACATAAAATTCAGAAGACAATACGATCATAATACCTTGAGCATACACAGTGAATGTCAACCGATGTTCCAATGTCGTTGAAACAAGGAAAATCAATGAGTCCACGAATTATTTAAGTGACTAACATTAAAGTTAGTAGGGTAAATTTATACATAGGCTGTAAACAGTGCTTAAGCGTGTAAACTCAGTGTACGAAGGCGGCGATAATAATAATAATAATTATTATTATTATTACTGTATAAAGGTTTTGAGATGGTGGAGAAGATTTGTAGCTCAGGTGGATGATTGTGGTGGTGGTGTTTGGTTCTCTGAGCTGGTTGTTTTGGTTGTGGAGTTTTCATTGTTCTTCTTCTGAACAACATCATCAGCACAAACTTCAGATAGAAGTGAAGCATTCGAATTTCTCCACGTTTGACCTGTAGCTTGTTCTGCTAACCTCGATCTTGATTGATTGGTTTAGATAAATTGTTACTGTTCAAATGACGCTGTCTATTAATTACGTTAATTACAAACAAGGCTTAATCAAATTAAAGGTAAACAAACTCAAAAATAGGTCAAATGCTATAGGAGGAAATTGAAATACAAAATTGAAATTACAAAACTGTTTGCAAATGTAGATTTTACCTAATCTTGAGCAAAAAATGTAACATAAATGAAGAACAACTGGATAGAACTAGAAAGAAAACCACAGGATAGAGTAGGTTGGAGAATGCTGATTTGTGAACTATGCTCCATAAGAGGTAACAGGTGTAAGGAATTTAGTAGGAAATAAATGTGACAACAATCACTTTTGAAATCATGAATCGATCAATGTTAGACCACCATTAGAAACTTTGAAGCACTAGACGGCCGTTTCATCCTGGTATGGTACTCAACAGCAGGTTAGACATTAACACCGCTCAGTGACCCAGAGATTGGACGTTCGCGCTCAACACCGAAGATCCTGGGTTGGAATCCTGCGAGGTGCAGGAGTCGTGGTTGCGCACTGTCACTGATGAGTCTCATACCAGGATGAATCGGCCATCCAGTGCTTCCAGATTTCTAATGTAGGTCTAACTTTGATCGATTCATGATTTCAAATGTGTAGCTTAACAATCTTCACAACCTCGTGAAACAATCACTTTAATCAAATACCACGTACTAAAGTATAGATTTGGTTGCATTTGATAATTAATCAGTGAATATCATGTTTCATTAAAAAGTAAGAATACGCAATCACTTTTCGACGGAAATAAAATCAAATATTGCATGTTATACACTAAATTAATTAACAAAAATAAATCATTTTTCTGAATAAATATCAGATTAAACTTTTTTCTAAAAACAAAACATGATATCATATTTTGTCGAATCCTAATAATTTTGTTACTAATTAACCGATCTTTGATTTCGAAATTAACTTTAGCCATTACCAAAAACTAACTCATAACTTAATCAGAAAAATTACAAATTTCTCTACAGATTGAAGTTGATTAGATGAAAATGTGAAATTTATTCTTAAACTTACTGAAATTTCATTATTTGGGCAAGAAATGGAGTTTAATTGTTGTACTCCCTAGAGTTTTTGTGTATATGTGGATCGTGAAAATCTGTTACTGAATATTCATTCATTGTATTTATCCTTGATATGCTGTTATGGTGTTTTTTTTTTAAAAAATGTGAAATGTTCTTGTTAGCAATATTTTAAACTAACTAGTCATTATGACAGCTTTTATATTCAAAATGTGCGTAGTCAACTAATCATAATCATAGGGGATTCACAAAACACTGGGTAGATGTTGCATCCCACTGTGGGATCAATTGAACCCAGGAGCTGCAGGACTCACAGAGAATAAATAAACCTTTAAATAACTAGTCCAATATTCAATTGCAACCGTGATATTGTCCGACCGTAGGATAACTGTCTCACATCTGATATAGCTGAAGTCCACTGGCTATAATTTCTCTTTAGAACCCCTGAAATTGTCTCATAAAATATTTACCAGTGAATATGTACTTATTACTTACTAAGGGAGATTTGAAGAGATGGTTAGATCTTCAAAGTTTACATCATAAATCCTCAGTTGGCAAGGGTCAGTCAATCAAAAACAACGTAGAACTTCGTACGTACGTACATCAGTTCACGTTGCCATTTCCCAGTAGCACAGAGATGCAATTGTCAATTCAAATCCCATTATAGTACCGGAAGTAAAAAGTATTAGCAGTAATCGAAAATTTTAGGGTTCGACCATATTAGTCAAGAAGTAGAATCTAGTGAAATAAACTTAAAAGAAAACGATAAAAGTGATGAAGAATTTAGAAGGTTAAGATTTGACAGAATATACCTATCATTAATTCAAGTGCCAATACATGTCAATCGGCAAGAGTAATTTTACATTGGTTATCAATAGAATCAAAGAGACTGCTCATGTGCTAAGACTACAACGTGAACAGTTTAGCCGAGTCCCATGAGGCAACCACACAGGTACTTAACACCCTAATCTTAGTTAAACAATAACTGAAATTAAAAACGAAGCTCAAGATAGACATTTTCATTTTAGTGCAAGACCTGAAGTTTTTACAGATTTGAAATCATCAATCAATCATTGTTAGACCACCATTAGAAACCTAGAGGCACTGGACGGCCGTCTCTTCCTGCTATGGGACTCATCAGCAGTGCGCATCCACGACACCTGCTCCTCGCAGGACTCGAAGCCGGGACCTTTGGCATTTTAGGCGAACGCCTTACAATCGGACCACTTGACGTTTTATTTGATTGCATATTTCTAACTATTGGTTTAATGCAGAAATCTATTGATTATTGAATCATCATTTTGTGTTATACAATTAGATTTATCTTCTAATGTTTACTTTTCTGACTTTTGATGTTTTTTTTTAGATAACAACTGATTCATCAACATGTTTACTTGCTGATTTATTTGATGATATCAAACCAGAATTAGAATTATGGTCGAATTTATTCAATACATCAGAAATTGTTGTTGATACAGCGAGAGAAATTTCTACACAATTAAATTTACTGAGTACACTAGAAGAGGAAGAAGAAGAAGAAGACAATGTAAGAAAACAAGAAGAAAGAAAGATTTTGGGAGAAAAGTTGAAAACCAAAGCAGAAAATCAAATTGATAATAATCAACATGACAAGAATAGCAATGAACTGATCGATTCAAGAAATCAAATATTAGTAAGAACAATATTTGAAAAGGATAAACAAGATGATTTAAAAGACAATGAAGTAAGTCTGTTTCAAATGAAAGAGTTCTATTGTGTATGTTCATTTCGAAGATTATCGATTGGGTTCTGTTTACTTTCATGTGATTGAGTAAATTTTAGCAATCTTACACACACCTGTAAATATGTTTCAAAGAATAAACTTCATTATTACTTACTTAACCACTGATGGAGCCTAGGCCGGCGACCAGCATTCTCCAACCAACTCTATCCTTAACCTTCTTTTTCAGTCCTACCCAACTGTCATGCATCTTTTTCACATCTTCTTCCAGTTCTCGTGGTAATGGGTTCTTAGATTTTCTTCATCTCCTTTGGCATTAAGGATTCCAAGTGAAGGTTTTTTGAATACTGTAGTTGGATGATTTATACAATGTGTTTCCTATCCTCTTCCAACTCATCTTCCTAATGTATTCCTCTTCTGGAATCTGTATTTTTTTCTCCAATAGAAGGTTGTTATGCATGATGTTCTCGTCAACGGATCCTAAGTATCATGTGTAGACAACTGTACTTAGACGATGTGATTTCTAGGTGATTGTATCAGATATGTATCCAAATACTTTACTAATAACGTCAACAAGGAGGTACAAGATGGGTTTGATAGTGAAAAAATGATGTCGTGTACTGTTTAAGATATGAGGGTGGTTGTCACTTCCTGGTTGCTCACAACGTGAAAGGATATTTATTCTTGAGTAATATGAAAAAAAAAACGGTTAAGTGTTGGTCTTAGTGAGTCAAAATGAAAGATAACAAGCTAAGTGTATTTTAACGGAATGCAGCCTCATCAAACATTGTTCTATAGTCACAGTCGGTGGTTGATATTAGCCACTCTGAAATCGAAAATGCAAATCATCGGAATCTAACTCACTAGATCAATGAAATTATGCTTGGTGAAAAAGTTGAAAAGTTCAACTTTATCTCGGTTTATCAGTAAACAGTCCTGATAGGTCTCTGATTATATTGGATTTCCTTTTTGGTGTAGCTTCTGTCAAAAGTTGCCGCCAAATCATTTTTGAGAACACTTAATACCATGGTATCCAACAGAAACTCATTTCTTTATTTGCAGAAAAAACAATCACTTCAAAAAGGATCTATCCGATTGTACAGATCTCCTCTGTATAGAATGTGTTATATATTTATTTTAATCACTGAAATTTTCTATGTAAAACGCTCAATTCTTCTTTAACTGTTAAACACTCAGATTTCATTGTGGTATAAAAATGAACTATTAAAACGAGAAAATAAAAGTCATCTTTATGCTTAGAATAATTTAACTGAAACATTTTTATTGAAAGCTAAATTTCTCATCACATAGTCAGTTCTGTAAACAATCCGTAGAAAGCTAAAAGTATTCGATCTGATATTATTTTTGATGATAAACATTTTCTTCATTTACAAAAGTATAGAGTTCAGAAAACTAAGATTTCAGTGACTCACGATATTGCTTAATTGTATGTTTCATCAGTGACATGAATTTCTATAGGTTTAACAAGTTAAAACAATGTATTGTGTTGTTCAAATATTTCTCATGGTATCTGCTCTTAGACTAACCCGCATGTGAGTCAGTTACCCTCTGAAGACAATGAATGGGGTCGCACACTATCGTGGATTAATTAAAGTTAAACAGTAACACCATTGGATGTTGGCTCAAAGGTATAGAGATTAAGCGTTCATGTTCAAGATCGAAAGTCCTCAGTTCGATTCCTGCTATTGGGGTCGTAAATGCACACTACTGACAAGTTTTATACTAAGAAAAAATGGCCATCCAGTATTTCTAGGTTTCTAATGAGGATTCATGATTTCAGGATAACCCAACAATCTTCCAAACCATAAAATCATACATCTGAACTTCCTGTAAGATATGCATAGCACATTAAACGAAGATTCAAAATAGTTTTTTTATTAACCTTATTAACTCTGTTTATAGTGGTGTATCGTTCTCTGAGCTGGATGTTTTTATTGTGGAGCTTTCTCTGTTCTTCTGGACAGCGTCATCAGCACAAACTTCAGATAGAAGTGAAGCTTTCGAATTTCTCCACATTTGACCCGAATACTTCACTTCTATCCTAAGTTTGTGATCAATGAAAGCTCCACAACCAAAACATTCAGCTCAGAGAACGAAACACCATCACAATCATCCACCTGAGCTACAAATTTTCTCCACCATCTCGAATTCTGTTTATCTACATAGTTTTAGATTTTAAATCAACATGTGGATTTCATTTTCTTATACCTGATTAGTTTAATGTTTGTTAAATTCCCAATGGTATATTATTCTGACAAGTTGAATAGATTGATGTGAATTTATCGTATGTTATTTTATATGTTTGTGTGTATGAAAGTTACCAACAAACTGATACTGATATTCATCTATTCAAACTTTTACTTTACTAATGTATCATATGACATGAAATGAGAAGAAATAAGAAAAGAAGTCGTTTGAATAATAATAATAATAATAATAAAATGCACCAGATACAAGACAAGATCACTTTTATTATTAGTTCTAAAATAAACTTGGCATAAAACTGAATCGTTTCAGTTTTTAATCCGGTAGGTACATTTACCAATGTAGATTTCAATCATACCTTGACAACAAAAGGTGAAACCATGCGTATTTGTGGCTTGGAATCTATGACAAATGAATATGCTATAAAATAAATCTTACATCTAATTCTCGTACACTATTCTTAGACGAACTCCGTCTGTGAGACGGCGGTTATTAAAAGCTCAATATGGTTTTTCCAATAAATTTATTCCTTACATTCACGTAAGCACACATATATGAGAAAAAGAAGCGTAAAAGCGAAGCTAAACGAAGTAAAAAGGAGAAGGCGAGTGAGCAAAATCTACTAGATGAGACATTACTATGTATGTATAGTCAAATAAAAACAAGCTAGTTAGGTGATAAGTGAAGTGAACAATATCTGCACATACTCCAATAAAAATAGCCAAACTCATAAGCGAGTAGTGGACAAGGCTGGAACAAGCGATGTGGGTTTGAAATATTAGAGCACACTACAACTTGTAAACATGGAACATTCTCGTAAATAAATAATTGCTTAGTAAGTAGTTTTTTTTGCGAATCTACGTGCCAATATCTTTTGACTTCAAAGTATACAGACTAAAAAGGCAAATCTAAGAACATTATAAAGCTATAATATCCATAACTAAATTTCCTAAAAACTTTTCTAAACGAAAAATCATTTCAAACAAAATTGTTAGGAAATCAAAGCAATAAAATATTTAAGATAAAAATAATAACTGAACCTTTTTATAAGCATAAACATGAGATCATTTATAGTTTGCAATAATTATGTACAAAATAGCTGAATAACAAAGTCCCACAATCGCTCAAGATAATTTCTAATTACAAATGACTGAATAGTTCTTCTAATATCAAGCTTAATCTACAAATTAATTTGATTAGATTAGAAGACTCATATAATCATTTCAATAATAATCATCAACGTAATGAAATATATATATGAAGAAGTCGAATGATCTGGAAAAGTTCGATTATCAAGATGGGAAATTTAGAATAGGAAATCTATGTAAATAATGCAATAAAATATCGGCCTAAGACTCGTAGTCAAATCAATAAACTTAATGTAGGAGCAACCAATAAAAGAACAGCAAAGTTCATGAAAATACTAACAAATTATTAGTTAATCTGAGGTCTTCTTGACATTCACATACCATTGAGATTGCAGATACAGATCTTCAGATTGCAATTCAGTAAACTACATATAATTTACTTGCTGTCTAAGACCAGTTTTCATTCTACACTTATCGATCTTTGGGTGTGTAAAATAGAATAGTTATCTAAAGCTTTCAATGTAACAACAAATAGACAATATTAACTTAAGAACTATGCAAAAACAAACAAAAAAACATAGTTTAAATTACTAATAACTAGACAAAGGTAAATTTGAGTATTTTTGAGTGATTTTGTTCAGACAGAAATAACATTTTATTTGCAAATTAGTCATTTTTACTTTTAGTAACTTTGTGCCTACTAATTGAATTGAATTGAATATATTTACATGATCGAATAACAAAAACACCAACTAGATTTTATTTCGCGTTCAAAAGTGTCATACAATATTGAACATTGAATTGAAGAATAGAATTCTGAATGAGGCATTAGTATTCCACTTGCTGATTTCGTTTGCTTTTTTTTACCTATTTCAACATTGTTTATTGAACAAATCTAATAGATTAGCATTATTATTATTATTATTACTTTTTAAACAATAAACATTATCTTTTTTTATCGTAATTTTCATATACTCACTGCTACACAAAGGTTGGTTATTGTATTCAAGAATAAGTACTTTTAAAATAATTTTAGAATGAACTACTGTCTTTCAAAACGTTTTTCATCAATTTCCTTGATCTCAAATTCAAAACTGTTATTATTATTATTATTATTATTATTATTATTATTATTATTGTATTACAATAGATGAAATATTGACATTGAATTAAACTGTTTGTTTAGCAAATTGAAAATTGCATATTTCGCATCGATTAAGTTTAAAGTACTATAGGGTATTGACAAAAAAACTTATGATCGGTAATGCTTTAAGAGAGGTTATATAAGAAAGGATAAGAAAACACATAACATTATCTGCTTTGATCTAATCGATCGATTACGATTGCATGCACAAAATTTAAAACAGAATAGGACTGAGCTTATTGTTGTTTTTAAGACAATATTGTTAGGTTAGACGTTGGTGCACAATACCGAAGGTCCTGGGTTCGAATCCTGCGGGGTGCAAGAGTCGTGGATGCGCACTGTAACTGATGAGTCTAATACCAGGACGAAACGGCCGTCCAGTACTCCCAGGTTTCTAATGGTGGTCTGACACTGATCAGCTCATGGTTTCGAAAATGTGTAGTATTCATTAATATTGAAGATTCCCATTGGGAAAATTAGAACAACATATATCAGCATTATTTTCACATCCTGTATTTGTTGGTAATTTTCGGCCTCTTTCCGTT